GGGGGGGGGGGGGAGCAAAAAAAACAAACCCCAGACCCCCCAGGATTTACGCCCCTGCTCTGGAAGATTTCCGCTGGTAATATCCCTTGTAAGACAATAATACATTGCGTGTGTATTTTAGTTCCTGTAACTTATTAATTAAACATTTCGCTGTGTATATACACATTGAGCTTGGAATAAATTTGATCCACGTATTGTCAGATATTTCAATTTTTCCAATATATATATTTACCTGGCTATTTGTAATATTTTTTAGAACTGATATTCTTTTTCAGCATTTATGCACGAGGTTTAAAAATTTCAACTGATTATAGCTTAAGATCTACGACGTCGACGTTAGCTAGGACGTCAGTGCTAAGCAGAGGACTGGGACTACATTAGGACGACATCCTAGTCCCAGTCCTCTGCATAGCCCTGACGTCCTAGCTGACGTCGACGTCGTAGATCTTAAGCTATCTATTGTGTGTCATAAAAAATGGGCTGTTTATATGAGGCGAGCCAGCTCAGGTAGCCGAGCTAGCTCGCTTTAGGCGGGATCCCGTCTTTGTTAATATTTCCTACTAAATTTCATGTTGCGTTTATATGAGAACCGAGCTGGCCCGCCTAACCGAGGTCCCGCTTCGTGTGACCCGAGACCTCGGGTAAACGGGCTGGGTAGTTTTCCATATAAACGCAACAGGGAGGGCTAGCCCTCCTAGTAGGGCTGGAAATTTAGCAAATACCCATGCGCAAATAATTAGAATAATTCAGAATGCACAAACAAGTCCCATATAAGGAACCAACGTCCATATATGGAGTTGTTTACGCCAAAAAAATTAGAACAAGAAGAGCCAGCCCTTCATGTAAGTTTCATGTAAACGCGTGGTGAAATTCATCTCGGCCGGATGCGAGCCAGCTCGGGTACCCGGGCTGGCTCGCTTCCATATAAACAGCCCCTAAGAAATTAATCTACTGTTGTTAATAACCACAATATATTTTGCTCCTGGTAATAAAAAATTCAATTCAATTGTGTTTTCACACTCTTGTGTTCAGCGTAGTGTTTATAGCATTCAAATTATAACAATAAGGTTAATTTAAAAAAGGTCTCTTTTTTCAGTGTCAATACGCCCTCTGGTTTGTAGTGTTAGTTATCTACAGTGTGTACAGTATAAAAAAAAACTGAACCTTTCAGATTCAAATTAGCTATAAACGTATTGTAGTAATTTGACAGCTCTAATTGTTTTGAATTAATGGTTGGGTAAGAACACAAGGTCTTGTACTCACAGGACAAAACTCAAAGAAATAAAAATTAGAAAATTTAAAAAAGGGTTCAGTTTTTTTTATACACACTGCACAGTGTGTATAAAAAAAATATAGTCTTTCAAATTTAAGCCAAGCATAACGCCGTATTCTATTGAATTCATCTGACAAGCTACATATATGGTGTATAAAACCCCCCTGCAAACACTAAAATTTGCATAATTCTGTTGCTTACTAGCATTTCAATGTCCGTGCTAAACCCTGGGCAAACAAGTTAAGGAAACATTGTTGCGGAAACATTGTTTCCTACCAATGTTCCGCCGTGTTTCCCAGAGTGGGTAGACAGGGAAACATCAAATGTTTCTGAATTCGCTGAGAAACACTTCACGGGAAACATTTGTTTCCGCAACAATGTTCAGTTCCACGGGTGGGCAAACAGGGAAACATTTGTCATTTGAGGAAACATCGAGAATCACAAATGTTTCCACAACAATCGGTTGCCTAGTTTGCCCAGGGCTTTATTTTGCTCCTGGGATTTGAACTAATATACATTCTAATTAACCGCGTTGATATAGAAATTAGAATAAGCATGGGCGTACCGGGCGGGGGGGGGGGCGGCAGCCACCCCAGTTTGTTGGGCAGTCGGGCAATATTCGCTGAACAGTCGGGCAATTTTGGTTTATAACAAAAAAAATGGGGGGAGGCCGCCAAAACAAATTCCGGAAAAAAATTTTTTCGGTACTTGTCGGGCAAAATCCGGAAAAGTCGGGCAAATTTCTTTCCGGCCCCCTAAATTTTTCCTTCCGGTACGCCCATGAGAATAAGGGCCTGTTCATATGGGAAGAAGTTATCCCGGTTAGCCAGAAAACGTTTCGACAAGTGTACAGGCGAGATATCGCCTTGTTATGAAAATAATATGAAAAGTTACACTGTGTTCATATGAGACGAAAAGTATTCCCGTGTACCGACTACCGAGTCTCGCTGGCTTGTTGACAGGCGAGATCTTGGTGACCGGGATAATGTTTTTCCCATATTAACACAGCATAGCCACAACTTTCCCGCTTAGCATAGCCGCAACTTTCCCGGGAAAACATTCTTACAAATCCTTGCGCGTCACATCAGTACTACGTCACAAACCGGAAACTTTACTCGGTAAGCGGGATAACGTTTCTCCATATGAACAGAACAAAATTATTTGGCTAGTCGAAATGTTTTCTCGCTAACCGGGATAACTTTTCCCCATATGAAAAGGCCCTGACACAAAGTTATTTGTAATGCTGAAAACTAATTATCAGTTCGACTGCGAATGGGTCAACTAGCTTCAACTATTGTGTTTTCACACGCTTGGGATCTATTAGTTCTGAATCATGCAAATTCTAAAAACATTGTATTTCAAAGGTCTGCAGGTTTTTTGATACACCCTGTATAGTGTTAGTTATCTATTTATGCACCACTTAAATAGTAACAAGATGTCCCGAAAAAAAGTACACCTTTTCAAATCAAGCCTTTGTTGGAATTTGAATGGCTTATTCCGTATGCTGAACTATAATCAGGGATCCCAGGAACCACGGGTGCAGCGGGTGCAAGTGCACCCCATGCCTTTTGTATTCTGGTATTCATAACTTTTTGGGTGCAGTGCGGGTGCGTCTAGACTATGGGTGCAATGGGTGCACAAAAGATTTAAAATGAATACCAGGTTACTTTGGAGGAGTTTATTAAGTTTATATGTTATAAACAATGAACGTTTCATAACCTAGTAAACGGCCACATAAAGCTTTCTTCAGTGGAAGAGAAAGCGAAACGGTTTCTGCTAATTCTGTGTGCCTTATTTTAATGTTTGACATTAATAAAAGGTTGCTTCATTGCTTGTGTTTGATTTTAAATTAGGTTATAAGTAGGCCGTGGGCTGTTGGCCAAAATTATTTCGCTTCGTGGCATCCATGTTGGAAATACTTGGTTTGGGGTTTATTTGAAAGGCATATAGGTACATCACTACCAAAAAAAGTTCCCAAGCAAAAAAGTTGCCCAATACCGAGAAAATGGGTGATCAACGATTATCCTTTATTAAATTGTATTACAGCAAAAAATGGGAAATTTTATAATTCCTTTACAATAAAAATGACTTGCATCATCGGAAAACGTACATCGTAAGACTTTTAAACAGTTTTTTGATTTTTCAAATAGTCTTTGAGTTATTGCTGTTTTAAATGTGAAAATTGGACCAAAATGTCGCAATAGGGACTGGGTACTAGGTCCAAAACGCGTTTTTGACAGCGTATAACTCGAAAACAATTTTAGATATAAAAAACTGTTTAACTGTCTAAAGCTTTCTGATGATGCAAGTCATTTTTGTTGTAATTAAATACAAAATTTCACATTTTCTTGCTGTAATACAATTTAATAGAGGATAATCACTGATCACCCATTTTCTCGGTGTTGGGCAAGTTTTTTGCTTGGGAACTTTTTGTGGTAATTAAGCATCTATGGTTCTATGAATTGAACCACAGAAAATCTATTTCCCAGGAGGGTGCCACGAAATTGCTTTTCTAGGCACTTTTTCGCACAACAGCCCACGGCCTATAGCCAAGTAGGTAAGTGCCCTTTCATTTTTGTTTCTCCTTTTTTTAAAAAAAATGTGTCCTTTTGGTAACAAATCGTACCCCTTGCCCTCAGCAACTTCCAGCATCCCTCACTATAATAAAAAGCCCCGTTTATATTAGACCGGGACAAAGTTAAACCGGAATAAAACTGGTACAAAATTGTGAACATGTTTACATGAGACCGGTACGAAAATCACAAACTATTCGATTTACGGCTCCTTGCCATGCAATTTTTCTTTTTAGATGGCTTTTGTTAGCATGTGTTGTTCCAATGTCAAGCGGGTTACAGCCGAGATCGGTCTGAAATGTATTTGTGATTCATCTCAGGCTGAATTCATGCCGGTCTGAAGTCATTCGGTCCGAGTCTCTCTCCTACGCAGAGGCTTCTGTTGGCTATGATTACGATAAGTATTAAGATACATTTCACTACACTTTACATGACGGATCTTGGAACACGAGCGGAGCCGCTGGGCGAAGGAGCGCAGGCGGAAAAGGGCTCCGAGTGTTATTTTCGTCCGGGTCTCACGAAAACATCTATTATATATAATACTATGACCGAAACGAAATGGTTCCGGTTTCCAGTGTCATGTAAAAGGGGTCTAAGTTAAACAAAATTTTGATCTAGACAAGTCTAGATAAAAATTTCATCACAGCTTGAAAGAGCATCACAAAATTAGTAATATTCCGAAGTTTCGTTGCGAAATGTTGTAAAATGCGAATATAGCAATGCGAAGTTTGCCGTTTTTCAGTCATTTGTATTACGCACGGAAATTGACACCTTTTGTCAGAAAGCGGTATCAATTTCCCGTGCGTAATAGGCTACAAACTAACTGAAAAACGGCAAACTTCGCAGTGCTATATTATCCGCATTTTACAACATTTCATAAACGAAACTTCGGAATATTACTAATTTTGTGATGCTCTTTCAAGCTGTGGTGAAATTTTTATCTAGGCTTGTCTAGATCAAAATTTTGTTCATTAGGGAATATAGGTCCATTTAACGCAGCGTTGTGCACTACTTTATTAAATTTATAATTTAACATGATAAAAACTCTTTAGTAGTAATTTGACCATTCTTGACGTGTATTCACTCTCCTTTTATAATACTAGAAGCTATTTTAAAGGGAAATGGCAATATATTTTTTTATTTTCTCGTTTGAAGAACATTTAAAACCATATACAAAAGTCTTTAACCGTTTTTTCATATCTTGCTTACTTCTACAAATATTTTAATCGAAAGAAATTAAATGTCCGCCATCTTGGATTTTTGTAGATATGCATGTTACGTCACAACAGGGGTCACGCAATATTTTTATCTAGACAACCACTAATCATTTTGTACTCAAAATTATACTCTGTCTGCCTTTGGAAATATCAAGATCACTTGAAACCTTTAAAACATCTACCAATCAATATTTGGTCAGCAACGAATACTTTTATATTGTTAATCCCTGTTGTGACGTCACCAAAACTAGAGTTAATGAGATCAAAAATTTATCCAAGATGGCTGACATCTCATTACTTCAGCTAACTAAGCAAGATATGAAGAATCGATAAAAGATGTTATTAAGTAGTTTCAAATCTTCTTTCAAATGAGAAAATAAAAAATATATCTCCATTTCTCTTCAAATTCCCAGGATTGGAAAATCGTAAAGTTAACAAGAACAGATCGAGTTATTTATTATATAAGGTCTCGTTTTTCAAGGCACCCCACTGTATTTTACATGGGTTCAACACAGTGGCGTAACTACTATGGGCTTAGACCGGGAGAACCCGGGGGCCCCCAACCCAAATGGGGGCCCCCAACCCAAATGGGGGCCCCAGGCTTGCATCAAGTCTGCAAATGTCAACTTGCAGCAAGCCTGATTTCAACAGGCTTGATGCAACTTGATGACGTGATCAACAAACCTGCTGCAATAACTTGTTGGCAACTTTCATCAGGCTGGTAAATCCGCAACTTGTGGCAAGTCTGGGTCGTTTCTGGCTGTGTAACAGCCTCGTCCCCAGGCGCCTTGATTTGCTGCGTCATTTCGTTCGCGTCTGAGTTGGAGCCTGGGGACAAGGCTGGCTGTGTAATGCTCAGGCATTCAAATTATTACAACAGGTAAATTTGAAAAGGTAGTACTTTTAGTCCAGTCAATCTGTGACCAGAGGTCAAAGAAATTGCAATAGAATTTTTTTCAGTGGTAAAATGTGAGGGAAAGTGTCCTGATTAACATACTAAAAATCCCAAAAAAATCCCTTCGGTGGAACATGGTGAAAATCGAGTTTTTCTTACTTCTACCTATAGAAAACCATTGTGGACAGAATGTTCAAATTTTGAAATCATTTTTAGGCAAATGTAACCTACATTATTGGAAAGCTTAAACAAAACTATAGAAAGGTCAATTAAACCGTTATATTCAATTTACTAGCCAGTTTGTCGTTATTCTAGCTCAAAGTTGGAAAAATAGCGCAAAATTTGCCCAAAATACAAATTTATGGCATTTTAAATCTTGTATAACTTCGGCTGGATAGGAAAAAGCAAGGTAACCGTTGAATGATCTATATTTAGTTTTCTCTAAGCTTTCCAATGATGCAGGTTATATTTGCAAAAAATAATTTCAAAATTTCAACATTTTGTCCGCAATGATATTCTGTTGGCAGAAGTAAGAAAAACTCGATTTTTACCATGTTCCACCGAAGGGATTTTTTGGGATTTTTAATATATTAATCAGAACACCTTTTTTCACACTTTACCACTGAAAAAATCTATTGCATTACTTTGATCAGGACCATGTACTTATGGTGATTCGACTGGACTATTTTTTCGGGACCCATGTATAGTCGTTCATATTTTTTACAATTCAGCATGCATCAAACGAGCACGTGAGTGCAGCAACACCAACATGGCGGCTGTGACGTCATCTGCAAAAGCTCTATTACTTATAAATATAAAGTTATTTTGCGTATGTGTCCAACTTATTGGCACTGAACATAACATATCGTTTATAAATACTCTATTATACACTATATATTTAAACCGGTTTAGTTCTGAAATCTGAATAACTAACGGATAAAGTGTTGATCAACTACCTGTTTAAAGAACTTGGATTTTCTGATTTCTAGTGATGCGGTGAGATGACCTAATATATATGGCCAGCTCAGAATCTTTTCTATGCGCTCAAAAATAATGAATATATATACTTTTCCACTTGGTTTAATATGACTATATTCAATTTTCTTAATTTTTTATACGTTTCTCAAGCGGTATGCATAAGCGTTTCTCAAAAAATATGTTTAGTACTTTGTAAAATTATGCTAAGATGAAGAGATTTTAGATGGTACGCCAAAGAGAAAATGATGTCTGAAGAGTGAAGTTCAATAAGTTTTGCTTATATTGCTGCATAAATATGGCGTCAATTTTACAGCATCTGTGATAACTTGTATTTAAATTGACAATATTTAGCTATTATTTTGTGTTTCTCAACCGCCAGATACATTTAAAAAGGTTGCTAATTGTGTAAACTACAAAATAAAGCTAAAACAAAGTAATTTTGAGAAGAACGCCAAAAATATTTTAGGTTTTGAACACTTTTGACTATATTCAATTTTGTAAATTTTTGATACGTTTCTCAAGCGGCAAACAAACTTAAAAAGTATGTTTAACTTTAGTGCTTTATGAAGTGATTTTGAATGGTACGTCAAAGAGAAAATAGCGTCTGAAGTTCAATAAGTTTTGCTTATATTGCTGCATAAATATGGCGTCAATTTTACAGCATCTGTGATAACTTGTATTTAAATTGACAATATTTAGCTATTATTTTGTGTTTCTCAACCGCCAGATACATTTAAAAAGGTTGCTAATTGTGTAAACTACAAAATAAAGCTAAAACAAAGTAATTTTGAGAAGAACGCCAAAAATATTTTAGGTTTTGAACACTTTTGACTATATTCAATTTTGTAAATTTTTGATACGTTTCTCAAGCGGCAAACAAACTTAAAAAGTATGTTTAACTTTAGTGCTTTATGAAGTGATTTTGAATGGTACGTCAAAGAGAAAATAGCGTCTGAAGTTCAATAAGTTTTGCTTATATTGCTGCATAAATATGGCGTCAATTTTACAGCATCTGTGATAACTTGTATTTAAATTGACAATATTTAGCTATTATTTTGTGTTTCTCAACCGCCAGATACATTTAAAAAGGTTGCTAACGTATAACTGCAGTGTAAACTACAAAATAAAGCTAAAACAAAGTAATTTTGAGAAGAACGCCAAAAATATTTTAGGTTTTGAACACCTTTCATAGCGAAATACGCGACATAGAAAAAATTTGCCTCTTAGTCTTAATAATAAACCAGCTTGTACTCGTATTGTCGAGTGTAGTGGCTCAGAATGTCCCCTAGCTGACGAAGGGTTAAGATCATGAAGTGCATGTCTAAATACTATAGGTGGCAACTTACAATCTTCCTAGAATAATTAGATTATCTTTTAACATGAATAATGGTTCAGAATGATAGGCTGATAGCCTGATAGCTTTATACAGTGATAGGCTGATGGCTTTATATTATGCAAGCCAGCACGGTACTATCGACTTTAATGACCCGCCGTACAAATTCTTACCCCATCTGCCGGCCTATGTATTATTGGGTTTGATCCTGTTACAACATAACATTGAGTAAGCCCAGAATGCTTAATGATATCACATACAATCTGGCACATTGCAAAGTCCAACCATTTGATCGAGATTTCGTTTTGGATTTTTCTAAACGGAATTAAAAACATTTTGTGATGTGCCAGGCTTAACAATATTCCTAGAGGTAAAGGGTGTTTTCGAGCATGGCGGCCGTGAATTGCCAATAATTGTTCTCGTCGGTAAGCTAGTGGCCTCTACCAATAATTTTTAATTTAAGTTCAAAACGCTGGTCAAAATGTAGAATATTTGGTCGTTTACATTGTCAACTAACTGGTATTCAAACATCATTAATAATTTATAAGCTTATTGGCAAATCATGTCAACCATAATATGTCACGTGCAGTGGCTTGAAACCGGCCTGATAAAACTCTCCTAATTAGTATTATTTATATAAAGAATACTAATAAAACACTCCTGCTCGTTTATTAGACAGTACTTTTTCAACTTTTCACTTTGTAAAAACCACATGTTTTTTAACTACACGCGTAGAAAATCTCACATCTTGTAGCAAGTCTACCAACAAGCCGTCAACAAGTTGCAATGTGTTCGCACTGCTTGCTGTCCCAAGTTGTCAACAAGTTTGGCTTGATGGCATTAGCAGACCTGTTACAAGGTTGTTCCAACAAGTCCGATACAGTCATAATATAACAATATTGTTACAACCTTGTGTCGTCAACCTTGCAGCATATTTTATCATGAGTGTATCAGACTTGTTAGAACAACCTTGTAACAAGTCTGATAATGCCATCAAGCTTGTTACAAGTTGTTAACAGCTTGTTCCAAATTTGTTACAATAACTAGGAACAAGCAGTGCGAACACAACTTGTCGACAGCTTGTGAACAGATTTTAAACAGATCTGTGCCACGCATGCAGTTACACACGTAAAAACGCACAAGTTGTTACAGATCTACAAACAAGTTGTTACAAGTCTGTTCACAAGCTGTCGACAAGTTGTGTTCGCACTGCTTGTTCTCAGTTGTTGGAACAAGTTTGCAACAAGCTGTCAATTTAACAACTTGTAACAAGCTTGATGGCATTATCAGACTTGTTGCAAGCATAGTCTTTCGAGACATGGTCTGGAAACTCAGTAAACTTCAAAGCGGCTATAATGAGCTGGGAGTTTATGTTGAACCGTACCTTACACCGTGCACATCCTTTGTTTAAGGTTTATTAATATTTAAATATCATAGTTGAATAACTGAACTGAAACATTGCTATTGGATGATTCGTTCATTATACTGAAATACAATGTGTTCATTGACCGTGCACCGTGCACAAAACTGCATAAACGCGAACAAAAAGATAGAACAAAGACTTCAGCGGAGTTTCCAAACTATGTTTTGAAAGACTATGTTGCAAGGTTGTTTTAGTAAGTCTGAAACAGTCACAATATAACAAGAATGTTACAAGTTTAGCACACAAGGTTATAACAATTTGTTATATCATGACTGTATCGGACTTGTTGGAACAACCTTGCAACAAGTCTGATAATATCAACAAACAACTGTTAGCAGCTTGTTCCAAACTCGTTGACACTTGGAACATGAAGTGTGAAACAACTTGTTGACGGCTTGTTGATCGTTTTGATCATTTTGCGTGTGTATTCTCCACCTTTCTGCAGTCTTAATAAAAGAATCTGCTAGTATAGGAGATTTGGCTTACCAATAGTGACAGAATGTATCTTAGATTGCGGTCCAAGAACAAGATTGTCCCCAAACTCTTGATAGCTTCGAACCTGGAAATTATAAGTAACTTTTTCTTCCAGATTCGCGACCTTCACCATCCGCGCTCCATTCTTGTTGACCTCTTGAAATTTTGTCGATTTTTCAGGCCCATCACGAGTGTTCCAATAAGTGACCTGTAGAGAAGTAAAATATCTTCAATAAAGTGTAAAATAATGCGTCGCATTACTACCATATTGAACTGGATACCAGACCTTTACATAAATGCTAAAATATGTCAATACAGTAAGTGATTAAATAGAAGAACAGTGGGATTTTCAAAACAATGAAAAGATAATGGAACATGTCGATCACTGGATCATGACTGGATGGCATGGAGAACTGTGGAGGTTTCAAAACAATGAAAAGACAATGGAACATTCTGATCATGACTGGATGGCATGAAGAACATTGGGATTTTCAAATCAATGAAAAGATAATGGAACATTTCGATCACTGGATCGTGACCAGATGGCGTGGAGAACAGTGGAATTTTCAAAACAATGAAAAGACAATAGAACATCCTGATCACTGCATCGTGACTGGATGGCATGGAGAACAGTGCGATTTTCAAAACAATGAAAAGATTATGGAACATTCTGATCACTGCATCGTGACTGGATGGCATGGAGAACAGTGGGATTTTCAAAACAATGAAAAGACAATGGAACATTCTGATCACTGCATCGTGACTGGATGGCATGGAGAACAGTGGGATTTTCAAAACAATGAAAAGACAATGGAACATTCTGATCACTGGATCGTGACTGGATGGCATGAAGAACAGTGGGATTTTCAAAACAATGAAAAGACAATGGAACATTCTGATCACTGCATCGTGACTGGATGGCATGGAGAACAGTGGGATTTTCAAAACAATGAAAAGACAATGGAACATTCTAATCGTTGTATCATGACTGGATGGCATGGAAAACGAAAGACGAATGCAGAAAGACGAATAAAAGCGCCCTTTAATTGTTCTCGTTTAATTTAGAAAGGTTTATTAAGCAGAGCCTTACCCTGTATCCAACGATCTTTCCCTCCACTTTCGACCACTTGACGGTGGCCGTTTTTTTATCTTGGTCAACGGAGATAAACACGTCTTCAGGTGGTTTCTTGGGAACTGGAAGAAGAAAGATAAGAGGATATTTTTGTTATTTCATCTCATCATAGCAAGGATATAATTTTATATAAAACCATTGGTCATACAAGGATCAGAGATGATTAGAGTCAGCAAGCACGAGTTTACACGAGAGTTAGAATGACAACTGTCGTGCCCGCGGGTCAAAGAAGAACAAGAGTTGTACGAGTGTTGAATGGATCATTACCAGAAATTGGCGACAAAATGGCCACTCTTGTATACTAATTTGTATGTAATCTATATATATATATATATATATATATATATATATATATATATATATATATATATATATATATATATATATATATATATATATATATATATATATATATATATATATATATATATATATATATATATATAATGGCTTTCACTTTTTCATGGGACTGTACAGGGTGAAAATATTTAACTCGAAATTATTGCAATCTGAGAGTTCGGCCGACCTCTTGCTCAATAAAACATTCATTTACTAAAGTTTCGGTGACATATTTATTCCGATTGAGTATCTCTCCTGGCGATCAAGTCGTGTTCAAGAAAATCACTTTTAAGTTATTTTCGTATGGTTAAGCTGCTGCTGGGCGATTTTGTTTTGAGAATTTTTACGCTGTTTGGTGATACAATCGACAGTTTTATAGGAGTAGTCTATACCACGAGTGTGAAAGTCGACTAGATCTTGAGCAATATTGCTTGGTGTTTTGCATCCGATTCAGTAACTACCTGACTAAAAATTTATAGAAGAAAATGGTTGTTTTTAAACTTTCTTGTTAATAGTGCAAGCCCAAGCATAGATTAACAACGATTCATCATTTGGCCGCTTAGAGAGATAAGGTGGACTGCAATGATTTGGATTCTTGCACTTCACTTGGTGCAACTAATATTAGAATGTTAGGGTCTGTAATCCAAGTGAGAATATATACATTTTAAGACCTAACCAGGAACGACTGCGAAAAATGCAGCACAAGGTCCTCTGGTAGGAATTGAACCTACGGCCCTGCGATTCCGGTGCAGCGCTCTAACAGTTGGTTAGAGCGCTGCACCGGAATCGCAGGGCAGTAGGTTCAATTCCTACCAGAGGACCTTGTGCTGCTTAGAGAGATACCCGATCACATAAATATGCCACCGAAACATTAGCAAATGAATGCTTTATTCATCACGAAGTCGTCAAACAGTAGCCGAGCTCTCAGATTGCCATAATCTCGAGCTAAATATTTTCGCCCTCTATATTCCGTATTAATTTTTTGAATACGGATTGTATGCAAATTAGTCTACAAGCTGTGGCCATTTTGTCGTTAATTTCTGGTAATGATTTTTTACTGCGCATAGCGAAAACTCTATTAACCTTTCATCAAAATCTGAACGTACTAGCTCAAAGTTGATGAGAATTGATGAGAGTGCGTGAGAATCGATGAGAGTTGGCGGTCAAAGACGATTGCAACTCTTATCAACTCTCCCTGATCGCCACGTGAACCTGTTATTATAACCTCACCATGCGGCCCGTTTCAATTTGTGCGGTTGTGCCGCGATTTAGGTGCTTCTGATAGATGTGAACCAGTGGATGAGTTACAAATGTTCAACTTCAGGCGAGGCTATACATATACTCAGAGCATTCATAACTCAAACAATCCATCACATTGGTCAGAAGAAGAAAATCGCACTACACATCGCAGCAACAATTGCAAGTGTAAACGGACCTTTAAGCCTTAGTTGCACCTGTATTATGAGCCTTGGGCAAACACCCCCCGTCTAATTGGCAGTAACCATGTATCCAAATGCACCCAATTTTATAATCTTACTCCGATCCATAAAATGCTTGACGATTTTACTGGTAAAGGAAAGAGTCTTAAGCCTAGTTTCCATTTGGTCGTTAGTTGTCGCTGGCACGACAAGTGGCTGATGTAATAGAGTGTCAACAAAACTTTATAAAACTCTGCAATCATTAAACTGACTTGCATATAACACACAAAAAGACTATTGATATTAGACTATTTCACATGTACCGCTTGTCGTGTCAGCGACAACTAACGACCAAATGGAAACTAGGCTTCAATGAGTTAACTAAATAAATAATTGTAATTCACCTACCAATCTTCAAATCAATATTCACAACGAGCGGTGGTCCGAAGCCCACTCTGTTCCGAGCAAGAAGCGCAAATTGATATCTTCCCTCCAAATCCAAAGCCTCAAATTCCTGTTCCAGCCTCTGCTCGCCGACGTCAATTATGTTAATTTGTCCGACCGGAAGTTTCCGCACGGTCACTTGGTAACCGACCATGATGCCATTCGTTTTCAGTGGAGGTTTCCACGTCAACGTCACTTCCGGTTTGTTCACGTGGATATCTAGGCTGTACGGTGCCTCGGGAACTAGAAGAATATGTTTATTTGTTAAAGGATTAGTGTCACACCAGGAATTCGCGGGCTCAAACTCCTGCTGGCGGCCATTTTTCGGGACGAATAGATTAGATGATCTGGAAAGTGTTTACAATCCGTCATATATTTAAACAATCCTTTTATAATCCTTGCTCTTTTTGTCTGATTTTTATCAGAAATGTAACAAACAATGTATTATTATCGCTATTCGTTGTATTTGAGTAAAATGTAAACAATAACAAAAGCCCGCAATGCATGACCCTGACACTAATTCTTTAAAGGTTAATAAGTTGAAAATGGTAGCTGTGGTAAAAATTAAATAATTTAAAAAGAGAATCTTTTGTATGTTACGTAACATGCACTGAAAACTAATTAATACACTTTTCAGTTGGTTATGACTATATTCAATTTCTTTATTTTTGATACGTTTCCCAAGCGGCAAACAAACTTAAAACGTATGTTTAGTGCTTTATCTGTAAGATTATGCTAAAATGAAAAGATTAATTTAGATGGTAGGCCAAAGAGAGAATGATGTCCGAAGTTCAGAAATATTTGCTTATACAATCTATCTATCTATTGCTGTATAAATACGCGTCAATTTTGCAGCATCAATGATAACACTGATAGTCGTATTAAAATTGGCAATAGTTTACTATTAATTTGTGTTTCTCAACCGCCAGATACATTTAAAAAGTTTGCTAACTGTGTACAAAATACTAACACAAAGTAATTCTGAGAGCAATGCCAAAACGATTTTAGGTTTTGAACACTTGTTACTAACAGCTTTGTGACACAGTTATTCGGCTATCGTTGAAAAGGTTTTCAAAAATTACTGGAGAGGTGGATAGTTGCCGCCCCCCAATTACTAATCCTAACCTGACTCTGGAGTTGAGAGTGGCCCAACCACATTACTTCCCGGACCGTCACCCTTGCTGTTGTAGGCAACAACTTGGAAGAAATACGTCGTGAATGAATCGAGACCTAACATGGTGACTGTCTCGTCCGTTGGTTCATAATGAGCGTCTGTTGGACGCATACCATGCTGGGTTGACCAAAAGTACACCTGGAAATATAATACGAATGTTCAACTCATTTTGTTTAGATTGGATAACTCTATCAGTTCTAAACTGTTCTCTCTAGTGGTCCAGTAAGGCTCATCTCTTATTGATCCAGTATTACTACAGGAGGAAACCTAAACTAAACTAACTTTATTTATACTGGATAGCTCAATTAGTTCTAAACTGTTTTCCCTGGAGGTTAGGTAAAAGTTATCTCTTAACATTATTTATATTGGACAGCTCCATCAGTTCCAAACTTTTCTCCCTAGAGGTCCAGTAAGGATCGTCGCTTCAGTTACCTTATATCCTAGTAATTTTCCACGGCTTGCCCGTCGATCTTTCGTGATGCCAGTCCACGTTGCCCTGGCTGAGCGACTGTTGAGAATTTGGACACGCAGGTCTTGCGGTTCACCAACTGGAGCTAACGAATAATTACGAAAACAGTAGACAATTCCCATTATAGACTAATTTCTACTAACTACACACGTAAAAACGGACAAGTTGTTACAGGTCTGCAAACAAGTTGTTACAAATCTGTTCACAAGCTGTCAACAAGTTGTGTTCGCACTGCTTGTTCCCAGTTGTTGTAGCAAGTTTGGAACAAGCTGTTAACAACTTGTGACAAGCTTGATGGCATTATCAGACTTTGAGTCTTGTCACAAGGTTTTTCTAACAAGTCTGATACAGTCATGATATGACAAGAATTTTACAAGGCTGTCAACACAAGGTTGTAACAATCTTGTTATATCAAGCATGTAACGGGCTTATCAGAACAATCTTGCAACAAGTCTGATAATTTCGACAAGGTTGTTACAATTTGTCAACAAGTTGTTCCAAACCTGTTGACAACTTGTGACAAGCGGTGCGAATACATCTTGTTGACGGCTTGTTGGCAGACTTGTTACAAGATGTGAGATTTTTACGAGTGTAGGCGAGGAGATGCAGATAAGTCACCACAGCTAGAAAGAGCATTATTTTGGAGAGTCGTACTGGCGAAGTATACGAAGTATAGCAGTTTATGGAAGATAGTTTCATACTACCTATGTATAGTCATGCAGGATTTCTCAAAAAAACTGCAACCCTATAATTTGCACAACAGCCACTGCTAATTACCATTTCAGCGGCTGTACAACTTAGTATGCTCCTGGGATTTAAAGTGCCTATGTCATGTTTTGTATAATTTATTATTTGTAATCATTGGTATACTTTATGAAGAAATGCAATATGTCTTTAAAAGTAAATATTCCATCTTCACAGGATTATCAAGCCTCGAAGTTACCAGATATGACATCAAACCGGGAATTGCAAATTAGATTTCGTTTGTTTCTAGCGTATAAAATTCCAGATTTGATGTCATGTCCGGTAACTTAATTTTGAGGCCTGAGGCCGGTTGTACGAAGGCTGGATAGCGCTATCCACCGGATAATGATTTTTTCAAGCTTTGTTAATCATGTTTGTGGTGTTACTCTGAGTGTATATTCCCACCGGGAAAGCTTGAAAAATATGCCTGGCCACGGTGGGATTCGAACCTACGACCTTTGGACTACTAGCCCAATGCTCTGCCAACTGAGCTACGCGGTCAGGAGTACACGTACTTTGTTAATCAGTTGTTGATTGGTACAACTCGTATTAAAGTTTAGTATTTATAAGTTAAATGTTTTTTATACTTCTTGTGATGTTTATATCCGTAGTTTCACAGTTTTTCAAGCATTTTAGAAAGGTTTAAAAAATCACTATCCGGTCCCCTGATAAATAAGTGATAATCCTATGAAGGCGGTATATTTTCTTATAAAGATATATTGCATTTCTTCATAAAATGCACCAAAGATAAAAAATATGTAAAATCCCAAATCATGAGATAGACAGCCTCGTACCCAGGCGCTTTGTATTGGTTTGTTTACGTCATTAGAGATAGACACTTTAAAAATACTTTCTAATTGTCCACATATAAGGTTTTCATGCTTGAGAAAGGAATTTCTTGCTTAGGGAAGCAAGAAATTCCTTTCCCAAGCATGAAATACCTTATAGCCACGGTTTGTGTCTCGATTCGCTATGTTAGAAGTATTATAAATTGAAGATCATTCTATTTTACCAGACTTACATTTTTCTCCAGAGTATCCATAGACGACCGCACTTTTGGGGCCTGGACCGAGTGCGTTGATGGCTTGCACTTGAAACTCGAATTGCTCGTAAAATTCTGTGTCGGCCACCGTGTACTCTAGTTTATTCTTTGAGGTCTCCGCATCCACCTGAACGCGGGTCATAGGGGATGGGTCTTTCACCCGGCGAAAGAAGACAGCATAATGTAAACTGGGTCCATTTTGTTCGATTGGTTTCAGAGGCTGAAATAAATATTCGCAGTTTATAGTTTTGTTCGATAATAAATAAACATGAAACTAGTTTTTCGGCCATTTTCTCTAGCCGTTCTAGTTAGGTCATCTCTTGCTAACCAGTGTTCCTGCAGGAGAGAACATTAACTATGCTAACTTTATTTATAATGGATAGCTCTACCACTATCAGTTCTAAACTGTTTTCCGTAGAGGTCCAGTAAGAGTCATCTGTTATTGATCTTGTGTTACTACAGGAGGAAATCTAAACTAAACTAACTTTATTTATACTGGATAGCTTTATCACTTCTAAACTGTTCTCCATAGAGGTCCAGTAAGGGTCATCTCGTATTGATCCTGTGTTACTACAGGAGGAAACCTAAACTAAACTAACTTTATTTATACTACTGGATAGCTCTATCACGTCTAAACTGTTCTCCCTAGAGGTCCAGTAAGAGTTATCTCTTATAGATCCTGTGTTACTACAGGAGGAAACGTAAACTAAACTAACTTTATTTATACTGGATGGCACTATCAGTTCTAAACTGTTCTTCCTAGAGGTCCAGTAAGAATCATCTCTTATTGATCTTGTGTTACTACAGAAGGAAACCTAAACTAAACTAACTTTATTTATACTGGATAGCTTTATCACTTCTAAACTGTTCCCCATAGAGGTCCAGTAAGGGTCATCTCGTATTGATCCTGTGTTACTACAGGAGGAAACCTAAATTAAACTAACTTTATTTATACTAGATAACTCTATCAGGTTTAAACTGGTCTTCCTAGAGGTCCAGTAAGGATCATCTCTTATTGATCCAATGTTACTACAGAAGGAAACCTAAACTAAACTAACTTTATTTATACTGGATAACTCTACCACTTCTTGACTGTTTTTTCTAGAGGTCCCGGAAGGATCATCTCTTATTGATCCAGTGTTACTAAAGAAGGAAACCTAAACGAAACTAATTTATTCACACGGAATAGCTCTTCCAGTTTTACCTGCCAAGATATCGTCAGCTCTGTTGGACTTGGTCCCTGTCCTGTGATATTTGATGGAGCTTTGTCAGGCACTATTAAAAGCAATAAAAATGTTTAGCTTGTAGAGACGAAGCTTAGTGCAAAGTTTAATCCTTTTTATTATATTTTGTATTTCCGCGCACCCATGTATTATTCTCTATTTAATTAACCAGTACCTGCAGATTGGCACCAGAAAAATCTCACTGTAGGGACTTTGTGTAGAAAATTTATATGTAAATGTGTTAAAGTGTTTTCTTAATTTTCCTTTTAAATAATGCACCTTGCACGAACAACGCTCGCATGCCTAGTTAAGAAATTGGGGTCTCAAAAACTATCGATGATTGAATCGAAATTTGTGACGCATATTTCACCGTGTAATGCTTGAAATGTTTCCTAAAACAGACTGACAATATTCATAGATTTCATAGTGGTTTAGCGAGGCTATATTACTTTCACTAAAATTTGATTAAAATTATATGCAATTATTAAACAATTATTGGATGAGGCTGAGCATGACATCAAGAATTATTCAGACCGAGGTCAATGTTATCTGCCGAAGCGAAGCTGAGGCGGATAACATTGACCGAGGTCTGAATAAATCTTGACTGATGTAATGCGCGCAAATGCCAAATCCAATAATTGTATAATTATACATTGAAAGACATCAGAAACGTATAAAACAATTAAACAAAGTTTATTAATTTTAATGTTTCAAGTATATTTATTTTATTTTCGCGCGCTTTTTGGGTTTGAGTTGTTGGACGCGCCGGGGCTTGGGCACGAGAGTGCCAATATTTTTTGGGCTGCAAGTTTGATCCAAAAAAACTGTTATTGGACGCTGAGCACGTCAGCAGCTGAAATTACGTAATAAGTATCGAATATTGAGAATTATCCAATGCTCTCTGACCAATCAGGAAAGAGAATACATACTTTTTTATTATTATTTATTTAGCTTTGCCAACTAGGGCAGGGTCACCACAACAGCATATGCCAATTACTGTGGGCCCTTTTTACCTAACCCACCCTGTCAACTTTCCCTGTGGGAGGAAACCGGAGTACCCGGGGAAAACCCACGGCTTTCGGCAGAGCGTTGACATTTACTCTTTTCACATGGGGACTGGGTTCGAGTCGCATTGAGAAGGTACTTAGTGAGACTCGAACCCTGCAGCCTCAGAGGTGAAAGGCAAGTGCGCTAACCACTTGGCCACCGAAGCCTACTAAATGTATAATAATTTGGATTGTAGAAGCTATATTAATTTGCCATGGTATAAGACACTAAGCACTGGGGAGCCACCTTAAATTATCCCAAAAAATAACCCACTGACCTGCAGCAGGACTCTGGATCAATCTGCTTTCTGGACTAGGTTTACTTTGCCCAATAGCATTCACAAGTATTACTCGAAATGTATAGAAAGCCCAAGGAGATATCTTGACCTCAGCTCTATTTTCGCCCTTTTGCACGACATCCCGTGAAGTATACCAAACACCAGTTTCATACAATGTTTTGTATTCGACGATAACTTTGTTAACTGGACTGTTGTTATTTGCTTGGTAGGCAGACGTTGTCCACGTGATATTCACGTGATATTTCTTCACGGCACTCACGGTGATCGAGATCGGCGCATTTGGTGGTCCTGGAACGAGAGAACAAGAAGTTGTTTCATGTTTCGCTCGCTACTCTGGTTTAAATAAATGATTACAAAGCCCAGTCGAATTGTAATCAAGTATTTACA